ATTGTCGACCTAAATATTCTTCCGCCGTTAGTGAACAGCGATTACGCTGTTTTTTCATTCAAGTTTAGAACTAGGGACATGTTATACGATCAGGTTACACCTCGCCCAAATGTATGGAAAGCTAACATATCAGTTATTCAGGAATGCGCTGCTGAGATACTAGCTTATCAGCTGAAGAAGCATGATCTGTATTTAAAGGCAAATTTAGTTTAGATACGTCGCCGTTCATACCATACCTGGTGCCGCGAAGACCGAATAACTGTCCGCCAAGGATAACTAAAACAGTCAGGAAACTTCTTAGAAAAAGGAAGAAGCACTAGAATATATTCATCTCTACTGGCTTAGAACAATACAGATCCAGTTATTGTAAGATTAGAAATGTCTGTAAAGAGTTAATAAGTAAGACTAGACGATCATATGAAAAACAATTGGTTAGGGATCCTAGATATAGTCCGAAACGGTTATTCTCGTATTTAAAAAAAGAACCCAGAGAAGCGATTGAATTCCATCACTTTTGATACAAGAAAATCCGTTAATCTTTGCAGAAAATGATTCCGAAAAAGCTGAAGCTATATCGCAATATTTCAGTAAAGTGCTTTCTATCGGTAATGAGGAACGACCAACGATTCATGTTGATCGTGGCGGACCCTGTAGTCATAGAGAAAGGTTAAGGCTACTTCAGCATCTCAAACCTGATAAGCCCAGTGGTCTTGATGATATTCACCCTAGGATTATGAAAGCCCTATCAGATGTAATTGCTGAACCATTAGGGATACTGTTTGATATGTCTCTAAGGCAGTCCAGCCCGCCCAGAGACTAGGAAGACGCTATAATAAGTCCAGTGTATAAGGCTGGGAGTAGTGATTTAGTTAGTAACTATAGGCCCGTTAGCTTAACTAGTGCAGTTGTAAAATTGATGAAAGAATCATTCGGATATATGTTATAAACTATGTTGAAGGGTATAATCTTTTCACCAGGAGATGCCTATTATGCTTGATAAATTTCATTGCAGTAGAAGATTGGGCTGCTGCAAAATATCAGAATATTCCTGTGGATGTGATCTTCATAGATCTAAGTAAGGTTTTTGATAAAGTCTCCCACTCTGGTCTTAAATTTAAACTGGAACGTTTTGCAATCTATTACATAGTCGTAGATTGGATAAGTAACTTTCTCCATGACAGGAGACAAAGGGAAAGGATTAATGGGGCTGTCTCCTCATAGGTACCTGTGAAAAGTGGAGTTCTTCAAGGTAAAATCCTCGGTCCTCTTCTCTTTGACTTTATCTAAATGAATTATCAACTATAGCGAAAACATCCGTTCTACTCTTCGCTGATGACATAAAGATTTGGAGCCCCGTACACAGTATGTCGGATAGGATAGTTTTACAGAATGATCTTACCTCATTGGTGGCATGGTTGGACAGGTGGTCACTAGAAGTAAATCCTAATGGAAGTGTAGTGATGCAAATAAATAACTATGATGAATCTTATCACTACACAATATGTGAATTCGTGCTACCCATAGTAAGAAACTATAAAGACTTAGGAGTCATATTAAGCAGTGATCTCAAAACCACTAGTCACTGTATGGCTACCGCTGCGAAGGGCTACAGGGCATTATTATCTATTCGTAGGTCTTTCCAGTATTTAGTTGATGCAATGTTTAGATTTACGTGCGACCACATTTAGAATATAAGATTCAAGCAGCGAGTCCTTGTTTCAAGTATGAAGCAGAGATGCTGGAAAGAGTCCAACGACGAAGTAATAAGATGGTACAAGGTCTGTCTGACCTATCTTATGAAGACAGACTGCGACACCTCAACCTAGTTCCGTTATCTTACCGTAGAGTACGAGATGATCTAATATTAGCTTATCGTATACTGAACTATGACCTTGGTATTAACATGCCCTATCTTTTACTTAAATCTAAAACTGATCATTTTAAAGGACATTCGAAGAAAATTCAAAAACCGAAATCAAATCGTTTACGTCTGGAGTTTCGTTTCTCGCATCGAGTAGTGAATTACTGGAATTCTCTACCGAAACACTTAATATCAGCACTTTCTGTTGATATATTCAAAACGAGATTGGACCTCCACGGTATTACAAACTGTAAGGATTAATGCAGGTCGACAGACCTCCTATCATTATTACTAATGACTCAAGACTGAGGACTTAAATCGGAAACCTATTGGAATTTCTGAAGGTCGCCCTTCAAATGTGTGGTTATTTTAAATAATGGACGAGAATTGTGGACGGTTAAAGTATATTGAGCTAGAAAACTACAAGTCCTATAAAGGAAAGCAAGTAATTGGTCCTTTCAGTGTATTCACTGCTATTATTGGGCCAAATGGGTCGGGTAAGTGCTCTGAATTTTATGTTTCAAACCGAATCTTTGCTGTTTATATATATATATATATATATATATATATATATCACTACGATATTTTTATTAGTGATGAATGATAAAGGTTGTCAACTGACATGTATCTGAACTGTACATCACTCAAATACTTGGTAATGGTTTTTCTAATTTTGTGGAAAAATCAGTCAGGCATACGTTAATAGGGGTTTTGACCATTTTGCTTTTTCGTGAAAATAAATTTGTAGACAACCTGTGGGTGTATATAGCAGGCGTGGTTTTGTAGCTGAACCATTTTCTTGAAGTTTGTGATTTGGTTATCACAACCTCCCTGTACCCATCCCGTATGATGAGTCATCAGGTATAGTCGGGTTCGTCTATCCCGAAGGCAATCACGTCATTTGCAGTGTGGTAGAAAAATGTTGAGTGCAATCGAAGTCAAAGCTTTTTCCTTTAGTTTCGTTAATTTTGAACTGTGTTTAGCTATTATAAGGTCGAATGTAAAGCTCATCGGTCCTAGTGTTCATGTACAGATGTGATAGCTTATTCAGCTTCGAAATGCTTAAAGTTTTTAATATTCTTTTATCTTTGCGCTTGAAAAGGTGGCCGTACTAGGTGGAAGTACAAAGTAATTCTGGGTTTCAGTAGTGTTTGGGCATAGTAGTGTTCAACACTTAAAGTTTTATACCTTCAGAAAACACCATTGTACATGAGTCGTTAGGACGGCGAGACTCTCATTTAGCGACGACCTTTGAACGAATCTTAAATGACCTCGACAAATATCAGCCAATCAGAAGACAGTATAAAGTGAGAATATATTGTAAGTAAGTAATGAATTACAGTGGATATTCTTCTTTTACATGATTTAAAAACTTGTTAAGGTTTTAATGAAAGTTCAGAGTCTCTCAATTCATAATGCATATTGTATAAAAACTCGTCCATAGGGTTAGGGTTGTAGCCTGTCAATAGACACCTCTTCTCTAAAATCCGATGTAAACCGATCACATGTTAGCACTCTAACCCTAACCTTAACCTAACCTCAACCTAACCCTAAACCCTAATCTAACCCTAACACTAACCTTAACCTAACCCTAAACCCTAATCTAACCCTAACACTAACCTTAACCTAACCCTAAACCCTAATCTAACCCTAACCCTAACCATAACCCTAAACCCCAATCTAACCCTAACCCTTAACCCTAATCTAACCCCAAACCCTCACCCTAGCCCTAAACCCTAATCTAACCCTAACCATAACCTTAACCTAACCCTAAACCCTAATCTAACCCAAAACCCTAACCTTAGCCCTAAACCCTAATCTGACCCTAACCCTAAACACTAACCTTAACCTAACCCTTAACCCTAATTTTAACCCCAAACCCTAACCCTATGGACGAGTTTCTATACAATATGCATTATGAATTCAGAACTTCTGAGCCTTTATCAAACCTCAACAAGTTTTTAACTCATGTAAAAGAAGAATATCCACTGTAATTCATTACTTTCTTGTAATATATTTTTACTTTATACTGTCTTCTGATTGGCTAATAATTGAAATTGCTCAAACGCTTCTCACTGGCTCGTCCCTAAATTAGAGTTTCGCCGTCCCATCTGTTTTAACCTCTCATTAATCACCTCCTCTCTAAAATCCGCTGTGAACCGACCATATGTTAGCATCGCGTGTTGAACTTGGCTCCGTGACCTTGAAATTGCTCAAACGCTTCTGATTGGCTCGTCGCTAAATTAGAGTCTCGCCCTGATGTTCGTTTCATATCGAAAACGGTATCAGATTTCTCGTGAATTTCTGTCTGTAAATTTGAAACAAACTCACCATCTGGAGCGTTTTAGGTTTCTTTTGTAATATTTTCCTTATGTGCAATATGCGAATGGGAAGTTTTTACTTTCGATATTTGATTTTCTCAGGCAAGTCAAATTTAATGGATGCTATTAGCTTTGTTCTTGGAGAAAATACTCGACATTTACGTGTCCGTAGGCTTAATGTAGGTGTTTTACTGGTTACTCAAATTTATTAAAGGATTTAATCCACGGTTCGGTGGTTGGGAAACCCGTTGCAAAGTCAGCATCAGTTACTGCAGTTTATGAAATGCCTGATGGGGAAGAAAAGCGCTTTAGTCGTGTTATTCACGGTAATACATCCGAGTACCGAATAAATGGGGTCGTATGTTCCTGAATTTTTACACAGCCTCTATTTTAGTCTGTTCGTGTTGATGAATATGCTGCTGCTCTGGAACAAATACATATATTTATGAAGGTGAAGAACTTTCTCGTTTTCCAAGGTGCTGTGGAAAGTATAGCTATGAAAAATGCACGTGAACGTTGTCAGATGTTTGAGGAAATTAGCAAGTAAATCAACAAATATTTTTAAAGTGATTTTCTTAGATCTGCTGAATTAAAAGAAGAGTACGATTTGTCGAAAATGGAAATGCAAAAGCTGGAGGAGAACGCAACTTTCAACTTGAACAAGAAAAAAGGCATTGTTGCTGAACGAAAAGAAGCAAAGATCGAAATCGATGAAGCTGAGAGGTACAAGAAACTGCAAAATGAATTGGTTAGTATTAGGGTTTTACTAATTGGATTAAGTTTGCTCGAAATTTCTTTCCTAGTTGTATGATTCAAATGGTTTAATTGGTTATGGACGGAATAGAAGAAACTTTCGCTTAACCGACTTCCGTATCTAGTAGTAGGGGATCACTGATACCTCCGGTCAATGGCCTAGGTATATTTAGCTAAGAAAGCTGCTGTAATACATGAAACACAAGTTATTTAAGTTTGGTGTTCGGAATTTGTGACCCTTCATTAAATTCCTATGCTTATTACCAGTTTCTAGTAACAGGAATTTTTTGGTAACACTAGGGGGATTCGGTAGGAAACATTTCTAGTCAATTAGTTTCATCCTTGTTATTGTGAAAATTGAAGAGCTCACTACGGTTCACGTCACTTTTCTTTCACTACTTATCTATGAGTTTTGGGATAGTTAATAGTTGCTTTAAAATACCAGGTTGTATGGAATCAGATATAAGTTGCTTCAGTTGTTTTGATTGTTTTCCAAATATGCTTTTACTGGTTACAATTCGTTTCCATCCTGTATGTTTATTTAAATAATTGATTTTCTATCTAGATCCCTGTTCTAGTCATTTTCTCTAGTTTTTTGCATCATGTTTCTATACTGCAGATGCTTCGCCATTCACTAAGCACTTAAACTCAACCACGTCTTGAGGGCCGTGGAAAAACTGAATTAGTTCTGGCCTTAGTAACTCGGGAGCGTGACCGCGAAGCCCAGAGAACAACTGTTTAAGACCAGTCTCGCAAAGTCTTTTTATGGGAAGTCTATAGTGTGTTAGCTCCGCACTTCAAAAGAACTTACCATCAGAGACGGAAATCCATGAGGTGAAGTTGTATCGCATTTGAAGGTTGGCCTTTTCTGACCACAGCATCGTTTCAGATCCTGGTTGTCCGAAGGAAACACGTTACCACTGTCATGTGTTTCTGCAGTCAGCAGTACGGCTTCGCGCTCCGACCTCAATTTGCTGCTCATAGTCTTAAAGCTTTCCAACCGACTTGCTGGGTATGATAAGACCTTAAGGAATATATGTTCTAGCCAACAGCTCGTTGGAGTCATCACGATAGGCAAGCCTGACTACCACGTCAAAGTAGTAGCTACGATCGGGTCTATCCAGATCCCTGTTTCAGTTACCTGCTCCCGTTTTTAGTATTCTGCTTCCATACTGTAGACGCCTCGTCATACACTAAGCATTTAAGCTTCGATTTTTCCAGTTAATGGGACTCGTTAAACTCACTTTATGCGAAAACGAAATTTAATCGTTTATCACTGAATAACTCACCATACGATAGCTTTGTTAACCGAATCATTTCTCTCATCACTTGTAGACGAAGAAACGACTGGAACTTCATTTGTTCAAACTTTATTACAATGATTTGGAAATTAGACATGTACGTGAGGAGCTCAAACAAAGAGAAGAAGCTGTTGCTGCTGAACATGAACAGCGTCAGTTGATTGAAGAAGAAATGAAGGAGAAACGTCGTGAATTAGGCAAAATCAATCGAGATCAGTCATCTCTAGAACAAGAAATTAAGAAATGTGTATGTTGTGAATTTTTTTCGATGTGCGTTTATTGTCGTGCATTTTTCGTTTTTAGGAGCAAAAGATTGGGAAGAGGAAACCTGAATTTATTAAAGTTTCGCAACTCTTGCGTCATGTTAGCGAAAAGCACAAAGAGTCCAAGTAAAATTGATTTCATGCATTGATTTTTTTTCCTAATCTTAATTTTTTTAATCAAAGAAAATCCTTGGAGAATGCTAGACAACTGCATAGTACACATCTACAAGAAATCGATCAGTTAGAGGCAGAATATGAGAAGATATCTGATATACAACGAGATTATGAGCAACAACAGTCTAAAAAATCACTTGAACAAGGTCGAGACCTAGAACTAGAGGAAACTCAGGTTTGTCTATATCCCATTAGATATATATGTATCGCTGTGCCTAGTCGACATCACAGTCAGCTCTTTAGTTGAAAATAGCCGATCATCTTTGACTCATAGACTTCATCTTCATACATTTTATGGTACTCAGTGAAATCATATTTATATGGTACTTGGTTTTGATTATACATGAATCCCAAGAGGCTATCGTAACTACTAAATGGGACAGTAAACTTTAACTAATATACTGGAATCAGTGAGAGTAGAGTTTCTATCACTGAAATCCTAATAGATAAAGTTAAGCTTCTTGAGCTGAGCAAATACATCTTCAGTTCAACTGTTGACAATAGTTTTTTATCTAAAACTTTAAAGGTTTCGTTATTTTTTTATTGAAAGAAACAGCATATTAACTGTTGAATGAATTTAAATGCCCAGCCAGTTCGGGTTTGAAGCGAATCTCGCCTAGGAAAATATGTAATCATTTATTTCATCATCACAATAGACGAAAAATGGTTTCCTACACGAGAACGTGTAATTTCTTAATAAGCAGAGTTGACTTAAAAATCAAATAGTTCTAGGTTAGTTAGCCAGAACAAATCTGTAAATTCGTAGGGAAAGGACTGCAACTTAGTTGCCTAGATCTAATTCGATGTTACAAGCTTGAAATTCATGACCAACTGGTTGCGAATTGAGTGTTTAAAATTTATATTTGTGGTAGCCGTCTAAAACCTCAACAATGTTCCATTCGATACTGTAGTCAGATGTTATGTTGCTTAAACTCCGTTAACTACAAAGTGCTTACAGACATTATTGTTATATCCTAACGAATAATAAATGAATGGTAACTACTAGGAGTTATTTACGAACTGGTATATATATATCTTATTGCATAACTGTTAAGTAACTAGATTACATACTTATATCTCTTTTATTATAAGCCTTTATTTGACCTACTGGCTATTACGATACTATTCGCCATTCTTAACTTATTCCAGATTTGTTAGTTACAGTCTCACACAACCACTTTTGGGTTGATATTATATAATTGTTATTTTCTATTTTGTGGTATGATGCGGTCTGATTTGCTTGTATATAAACTGCGTATATCTGAAATACATGATTTATGCAGTATAAGCTGATATTATGTTCTGAACTCAACGGGCTGAGCAAAACAAGAACAACCAATAAGGACTCGGAGTTGACTCTAGGTTTCTCGTGCTGTTTAACGCGTCATTGGTTTGGCACAGGACCAATGTCATATGAATTGGTGTTTTAATTGCCGATTTAGTTACGTAGTAATTGACATAACATTTATGTTTAACAGAAATAATTTGTGAGGACATTAATTTATGCTGCTTACTATTTTATTCATTTATCCTTATTATTTTATGCCAATTTTTTCGGGGGATCAGTTGTCTGAATATCATCGGTTAAAACAAAAGGTAGCTGAACGAACATCACATTTGTCTGCTGTGCTAGACAATTTAAATCGTGAGTACAATGAACAGAAAGATTTATATGATGCATTGTACCGAAGAAAAAATGAAATTGAAAGTTCTTTGAAACGTAAAGAAACTGAATTAAATGAAAATAAAAAACGCTTGCAAAAATTATTGGAGTATATTGAGTAAGTTGGTCATATATATTATTAGTTTTTAAACTAATGATGATGGTGTCAAACGTAATTTAGTGATTGAAATCAGTTGGAAGGCTCGTAAATTTGAACAGACTAAGAGGGATTAGATATCAGCCACTTCGAACTCAACTGTACAGTATTTTAAGAGTGGTATACTTCTATGTTTGTTCCTCATTTATTTAATCATTATAAGACTGGTGCTTTGTATACTTCAGATTGAAATTCTCTATTGACTTTACCATGAATTTGGCAATGTACACTAAATTTCGTGTCACATGAAAATAATGTTTAATGAGCCATTTTTGCGAAATAAGTTTCCTAAGAGGAAACTAAAATATTGTTTTAAGCTTTTGAGACAGGAAAAACTATGATTGTTTGACGCTGATAAGTATGCCTGTGTTCTAGAACCTGACGAATGATGAATATGTGGTCGATGCAACCACGATCAGGTCTGAAGCCAGTCTGATTTTCTCGTGTTTGCAGTTCACGAGTATTAGTTAAGCGTCTGATAATTGTCGAGGCTAGTATTTTAGATGCTATATTGATCAAACTTATCCCTCCATGGTTATCACAGGATGATTTTGACACCTTATATACTGGGACAATCTGATTGCGACTAGTCAGACGAAACTACGTTCAACTCCCAGATTTTAGCTAAAATGTTAGTTAACCTAATCGTTAAAATTGGACCACCATACTTAAAGACCTTTGGAGCCAATCCATCTGGACCAACTGCTCTTCTTCGTTTCAGATTAGCTGTAGCTTTTTGAACTTCAACTATAGTCGGGGGGCCTACTTCAATATTCCATTCACGCTGTTTGGGAATTGTTGGTAGTTGTAGAGTAGCTGAAGGCCAGCTGAACTGCACCTTAAAATGTTCCGCCCATCGTTCTGAACGTCTAGACTGGGAGCAGATAAGGATGTCGTCTTTTTCAAAGATAATCTCACCTGATGCACAGTGTACTAGTATTTATTCTGCGGAACTTTTAGTACGTGCCTCTTGTCTCTACACTTATCAGTAGTGTTGGCTTTGTAGTTAAAATTCTCGACGTTAAACTAATAGACTTGACGTTATGACTCCGGTCACCAACGTTTTGGACATTCAGGTAGGATCGCTATACATTACATAAAATATGCTCGACTCAAATCCGAGTGCACAAACTTTTAACCACCTGTCGATTTACAACATTTTTTGCACCGATAAATTCAGATTAAATGTTTTTGTCAGATATCACCGAGCTACTGCTGTAACATATTTACATATACACTATTACTCAACGATTCTTCATTCTTATGTAATATTTAGCTCAAGTAATCGTGCTATAACCGAACAACGTGAAACAGAAAAAGCTATTCGGGAAGAAGTTGAATTGGCCACTAGACGTATTGATGAAATTAATGCTGAGTTAGAAACTGTTGTTTGTCAGCTTGGTGAAGCAAAAGTTGAACGACATGAATCATCTCGTGCAGCTAAAAAACAAGAGCTTATTGAAAATTTAAAACGTCTTTTTCCTGGAGTTGTAAGTAGCACTATATATTAATACATTTCTAATAATTAAATTATCATGTGGCTACTAATCTTAAAAATTAGTGCAGTAATCACACAAATTCATGTACTACTAGAATGATGAAAAAAATATTTTTACTGACTTCTTGTTATCAATCGTTGAAAGCGATCGCTAGTTTAGTGTGCATCAATTTTTATCTAAGTACTAGTGTTTACAAATAATGATGTTAAATTTTATACGGCTCACATCTAATACGTGTGTTACAAAATGAATCAGTTATGATACCACTCCCGTGTGTCCCAATAAGTGTAAAAAGTTTAAGTATCACTACAGCATTTCTGCGGGACCTGATTATTTTTTAACAAAGCAGTTGTAGTTGAATTTACGTTCAATCTTTATTGTTTTAATTAATTTACAATAATTAAAGTACCTCGTTGGTATCGTTGAAGTTTATTACATGTTCTCACATTAGACAGTTGGTATTTAGTAAATGATCTCGGCACTCCAAATACACTGAACGTATTACATTGAAGTAGTTTTCATACTGTCAGCTTTTCAGTCGCTTATAAAGTAGTTAAAATAAGCCTAGGTGATTAGTAATATAGAGGACTGTTGGGTTAGATTAGTACTTCTTTATGCGCCGTTAACTCCTGTATGAAGTATGAGAGTTCACTTATTTACGTACGCCTGTTACCCCCAATGGAGCATAGGCCGCCGACCAGCATTCTCCAACTCACTCTATCATGGGCCTTCCTTTATAGTTCGATCCAATTGTTGTTCATCCTTCTCATATCTCTCTCCGTTTCTCGAGGTAATGTGTTCTTGGATCTTCCTCTTCTCCTTTGGCATTGAGGATTCCGTGTGAGGGCTTGCCTCGTGACACCGTTGGATGCTCTCTTCAATGTGTGTCCTATCCATCTCCAGCACTTCTTCCTGATTTCTTCCTCCACTGCGATCTGATTTGTTCTCTCCCACAATGGGTTGTTGCTGATAGTGTCCGGCCAACGGATCTGAAGTATTTTGCGTAGACAACTGTTAATAAACACCTGTATTTTCTGGATGATGCCTTTCGTAGTTCTCCAGGTTTCTGCCTCATATAGTAGAACTGTGTTGACATTTGTATTGAAAATCCTGACCTTGGTATTGGTTGACAGTTGTTTTGAGTTGCAGATGTTCTTCAATTGTAGATATGCTGCTCTTGCTTTGCCGATCCGCGCCTTCACATCTGCATCAGATCCACCGTGCTCATCAATGATGCTGCCTAGATATGTAAAGGTTTTTACATCCTCCAAAGCTTTTCCATTAAGTGTAATTTGGTTAATGCGTGTTGGGTCGTATCGGAGAATCTTGCTTTTCCGTTTTTGTATGTTGAGATGTACTGCTGCTTAGACTGCTGCTCCACTGGTAGTCTTCTCATGTATTTGTTATTGCGTGTGCAATAGAATAGCCAGATCATCTGCGAAGTCTAGATCATCCAGGTGTATCCTATCTGTCCACTGTATCCCGCTCTTCCCCTCACATGTTGACGTTTTCATGATCCAGTCGACCACCAGAAGAAAGGGAAAGGGTGAGAGTATGCAACCTTGCCTGACACCTGTCTTTACTTCGAACGAGTCTGTAAGCTGTCTTGCGTGCACGACTTTGTAGTTTAATCCATCGTAAGAATTCCGTATGATATTGACTATCTTCTGGGGTATGCCGTAGTTTCGAAGAAGCCTCCATATTGTTGTCCTGTCTATGCTATCAAATGCTTTCTCGGAGTTGATGTAGAGTGATGAGTTCCATTCAATTGATCGTTCCACAATGATCCGTAGTGTTGTGAATAGGTCTGTGTTGTCCATTCCAACCTTGGCATTTAGGTCTGCCATCAGAATGATCAAGTCCTTTGTTGGGCACTTCTCGACGATTGACTGCAGCCTATCGTAGAATTGATCTTTAACGTCTTCATTGTAGTAGTTGTTAGGCCTAAAGCATTGGATGACGTTCATTATAATGCCCCATTTCTTTGTTTCGAAAAAGGCTTTGATGATCCTGTGTCCATGAGATTCCCATTCTATAAATGCTTTTGTGCTTGTTTGGATAGCATCAGTGCAACTCTTTGTGTATGTGGAGCATTTTCTTCCTCATGGTTGGAGTATAGCAGAAGCTCCCCTGAAGCTAGTCTTTGTTGTCCAACCTGCGTCGAATGTTTCACTGATTCCAAGCACCTCTAGGTTGTACCTCTTGATTTCTGCTGCAATTTAGGAAACTCTCCCGGTCTCCCACATTGTACGAGTATTCCATGTACCTAACTTGATGGTTGCTCTGGTTGTCAGAAGAGGCATCGACCTCGTGACTTCCGAAGGAACTCGGCTTTCATCATGAGACATCTTAACTCTTCTAAATGAAAACCTGACTCCCAAAACATAGTTTAAATGGTTTGAATAACTTTTTCTGGTTAGCGTTTCTAGCGAGCTAGTTTTTTATGAGATGGGGTCGCTAATCCCGTGCCCAATCCTCCTCCTTTACCCGGGCTTGGGACCGGCAGTAGCTCCGGAGGGACTCCAGGCGGAATTATGAGAGCTCATCCTTGACTCTAATACTTTTCATCTTATTGTTATGAGTCAGCTATGAGGTTGTATCATAATACTGATAACAGTTAGCCAGTCACTCAATCAGAAACAACTTAGGACCTAGTACATATGTACATCGGTCCAAGTTGCCACACCACATCACAGGGACAGTGCTAAATCTCTTTATTTAGGGTTCAGTATAGGGCTACAGTACTTTCAAAACTAGTAATATTTGAGCTACTGTGATAAGATTGGTTATATTTTGTGAAATAATATACCGGATTTCTGATGTGAGCATTTCATTTTCATCTGTCACACCACTTTGTACACTTTGCTCTAGGGAACAGAATGAATATCATTAGGTGGTAAATGACTCATATACTATGATTAATCTTTATTCTCTGTAACATTATTATGGTTATGATTTTATTATTACTATCAAGCATGGCCGATTACTGGAAATGTGTCAACCATCACATCGCCGTTATCAAGTGGCAATTACGAAAGTCCTTGGCAAATATATGGATGCTATAGTCTGTGATAGTGAAAAAACAGCTAAAGAGTGTATTCAGTATATGAAAGATCAGCGTATTGAACCAGAGACATTTTTACCACTTGACTTTTTGGATGTGAAGCCAATTGACGAGAAATTACGGTAAAAATATTCAATGATTACAATTATGATCATTTTTGTACCTGTAAAACGAATAAACACCAGAAACACAATTCATTATTAATGGATACATTTGCATTTGATTGATCATTGAGTAGTAGTTACCATTATCATATATCCAGCCCTTTAGTTCTGATCGAATTCTATTGATCAAGTAACGATGTGGTCACTAGTGACTGGAAATCAGATTTACTATGTTGGGACCATCTTTCATTCCTTGCAGTGGACGACTGTTTCATACCCGATATGACTGAACTCTGTTGATCATGGCTTCTTTCTAGAACTTCAGGGATTATTTGCACAATATCGTGCCTTCGGCCTCGAGACCGACTCCTGAATGCAGGGCCGTATTTTCTCATTTCCGGGGAGCTACATACTGGGAGGAAACATCCACAATGCTACCTCGTTCTCAGTGGTGGTCTAGCTTAGATCAGTTTGTGATTTAAATCATGAAAAGTGATGTTTGTTACTACCTAGTAGTTGATTCGCAATGGTATTTATTACTTTAGAGATAGTCAGATTTGTTCTGTGAACAAAATTATTGGGGAATTAGTAAACTGAACCATTCGTCGTGCGTTTAATAATGTTAATAAATTCGTTTCTGACTTGTTTTAAACTTGGGAGTTGTACGTTCTGTCGACACCTTTCATTTTTACATTTGTAGGGCTCAGAATAACGCCCGATTAGAAATACTCAAAGGGTTTGGTAATTTAAGCAAATATTATTTCATGAACTGCTTATTGGTTTTGTACTCTTTAGTTTTGATTATCGTGAAACCCTAGCACTGGCGTTCCTATTCTCCTAGATATTTTCAAAGTATTCTCTGGAAATGGAACTCATCATTCATCGTATCAGATAGTAAACCACAGTAACCTCAACGGGCATAACCATTCAATATCAGTCAGTCAGTCAGTCAGTAACAACGTAGAACTTCGTACGTACGTACATCAGTTCGAGTTGCCACACCACATTAGCACAGAGATGCAGTTGTCGATCCAAATCCCGTAGTGGTAGAGGTAATAAGAGTATAAGCAGTAATCGGGAAGAATTCAGAAGATTAGAATTTGGGAGAACACAGAGAGTGGATGCACCTGCGCCATTGCAAACGATTTTGAGCCATGTCATTCAGGGTCTCTAACCATCGGTTGCTATCATCTCGCGGTCCCCAACCAGGTAGTCTACACCTACCAACATGACTCAGTTCATTTGTCAGTGACTTCATGGACTTGTGCCATGTTTTGGTTTGGCCGCCCCTAGCTTTCTTCCAACCTACTCCTATACCACTGAACATAGCACGTCGAGGCAGTCGGTCGTTGGGCATACGTAACACATGTCCCAGCCATCTCAACTGATGAAGTTTCACTACTTCATCAATTGATTTGCCATCCTTACCTAGTACCCGTTTCCTAACAACTGTGTTGCTTACTCGATGGTCCCGTGGTATACGAGCAATGTTTCGAAGACACCTATGATCGAATACTAGTAACCTACGGATATCCTCTACTCTTACCGGCCATGTTTCACTGCCATAAAGTAGGACGGAACGAACTGCTGCTCAGTAAACACGTCCTTTGGTTGATAGACGGATATCTACCGTTCAATATTGCTTCGTATTATTGACTTACAAGACTGAATAAGGTAGTATTTACTGATTTTTATTACACTATGACAATGTCAGACTGCAACAATGTTATAATTAAAATTACTTCTTAACATCAGATACTTTATTAGAACTACTCACATATCATTGGATATAAATCTCGTTTGACTAGTTTATTTCATTTATCTACATAATTTTGCAAGATAAACATTTTTTCTCGTTTCTCCATATTTTATTTTTCTCATTTACATAGTGAAATCAGTGATCCACCTAATGTTCATTTAGTAATTGATGTTATCCAGTGCGATCCAATTATAGTAAAGAAGGCGTTAACATTTGCATGTGGCAATGCATTAGTATGTGAAACTGTCGAACATGCTCGTTATGTTGCTTATCATATGGGTGACAGAAAGAAGGTAAGTTATATTTATCTATATATATAATCCTATAAACAGTTAACTCTCTCATATCATTAATTATGTAATTTTTAATTCGTTTAAACTTATATGCACTGAGCGAAAGATGTCAGCTCAGATTTCACGTTTGTTGACAATACGTATGTGTATTCCATGAATCCATGTATCTTAAAATTATAAGAAAATTTTATACAGTTGTTGTGGATAAGGCGGAGATACTTAATACCCATACAATTGTTACCTGGGAATGTATATAAGGTCTTCTGAAAGTCATTCTCTTCCGAATAAATGAGAAGTTTAGTCTGTATCACGGATTTGTACCTGAGAAAATTAAAGATTCTTTTAGTTACGTATATGTTGAATGCCAAGAAATGTTGATCAAGGACCTGTTATCATTTTCTCCTGATAATTAAGTGCATTAATGTTGATATTTCCCTCGACCTGCAAAGGTGTCTACTGTCGTTTTGTGGTAAATTGTTTTTAGTGTCTTCAGTAGTGGTTTCTAAAATCTTAAATCTGTTTAATAACTCTAGAAATCTGTAAAATAAGTGAGGTAAGTCAAATGTCTGCAATCATTCTTTTCGACTCCCCATGCACTTTGTGAGATGGCAACATTACTTGTTGTACTTTAATTCACATGAAACACTTATAAGCAACTAAGTGCTAATATGCTAATGTTTACAACAATAATACTGTGACATAGTTTTAGGGATTCGAAATATAACTTTCAATCTTTACCTCATAATAACTGTTCCTTTTAAAAAAAAATTGTTTACTTCACTAGACTGTTTCGTTAGAAGGCACTCTCTTTCAACGTTCTGGTGTTATATCCGGTGGTGCAAGGTAAATATTTAATTATTTATTTGAAGTCCAAATACTTTTAGTTATATCATATCATAATCGGTTTAAAAAATGACAGTTTTGTCCTCATGTATTTTCAAATCCTAGTTTTCTTCTGCACAAATTTGTGTTATTTGTCAATTATCACTTTTATGTCATTCATAATCGCCTCCTAGTTTGGTACTCTCCACACTACATTTATGATAATTTGTATATATACCTCATTTTTCTCTAGGGTGAAAATAGAGCTCTTCTTTCCTTTCGCTGCGTTCGAAATTTAAAGTAGCGATAGTTTGACAAATTCGTCTTTCACATTCAAGTTCAACACTGTTATCGATCCTGTTGGTAATTGTTATAACTCGTGACCTTGTGCCCAATTATTATATAACGTAATGTTACTACCAACGACCAATGACGTGTAAACCCGTACGAGCAGTCTAGAGTCTTTATCGGTCTTTCTTCCTGCCTGTTGAGTCCAGAACACAAATCTCAGCCTCCGCGAAATGAATCATGTATTTGAAACACGCAGGTACATCAAACTGACGAGTCCCAAGTAGGATGAATCGCGCGTCCTGGATTCCACTGCTAGCCATTATATCCTTATCTGCAATTCTACATAAAAATCGACATGATATCAACATTCTTTATTAACCGATCCTACCATACTCACGATCAATGATTCGAAAACATTTCTGATCAACCATCAAAAACGTACATATATTTAGTGATTTGATAAAATCCACTTGGAAGCTTGTAACTAAACTGAAAAGGTGGAATAGTGATTCAATAACTTATGCTATTCACCTTAACATGCTGTTTACCTACTTTCTGGTTTAAACTTTTCTCATACTCATGCAAAATAGAGAAATATCCTGTGAGTTTGATGACTATCTCCTGTGGCCTTCAACTTCCAAGTCGAGAGTGATCAATTTTCCTGATATAATCTTTAAAATTCTCAGGATATATATATATATATATTTATATATATATATAAGATGTACTGTTATATGTTTTGTCTCCATTTCTGTCAGATATAACATAAAAACTGATGATTAACATTTTTAACGTGATTGCCGTGTCCTTTTGTTTCTGTTTTTCTATATAGTGATTTAAAAGCTCGCGCTCGCCGTTGGGATGAGAAACAGATAAGTACACTTATGTCTAAACGAGATGCTCTACAAAATGAACTGAAAGAACAATTAAAACGTAAACGTAAAGAAGCTGAATTGCGAACTATTCAGTCACAAATCAAAGGTCTAGATACTAGACTAAAGTATACATTAAAAGATAAAGATAGCACGGTTAGTTAGTATATTTTATAAAGATAGAATAAATATCTGGTAATTAAGGACATTCGTACTTGTTTTTTTTAATAGAATCTTTTCAATAATTGGTTACTGAAATATCTGTCAACTTGTAATGTAGCTCAGTTGGCTAAGTGACTTAAAAGCTTGTTGATAGTCATTAGTATATCATCTTTATAATCTTTTCATAGTACTCATAATAATTCATTTCAATACCCATCATTTAATATTTATGTTAACCTACGTTCAAATCTATGCATAATTAGCTATGAACCACATTTAATTTGTAACTGAATTCGATAGCGAAAAGTGACTCTGAATAAAGGATTTGAAACACATGCCCTTAGCCAAAGTTGTCTAGAGTTCTAACCAAACAGACTGATGGCAAATTTGCTAAAAATGTCTCGATTTGGCGATTTGGTAACAATATTATCATATTATTAAACGAACTATAACAAACTTCAGTACTATTTCGTTTTACATAAACGATTTAAGGATTATTAGAAAGTTTTTGATCAGTGTTTCTTAAATTACATTCAACTGTGAACTAGTAAAGTGAATGAACTGACCTTATATGTTTGAACTGTTTGGATTTAGCAATTAGAAATATCTTTACTTGTGGAAAACAAGTAATTTAAAAGTAGAGATAAACGCTAATACTGTTAACTTCACGTTAAGCTTAATATTTTTGATCAATATATTATGTATTGTGTTAGATATATACAAGGTTTCTTTTTTTTCAGGAAGAGAAACTTCTTAGTACAAACGAAGAGGAAATGAATCAAATCGCTCGTGAATTAGAAGAAGTTGAAGTAAGAGAAATACATTTTTATTCATTCTCTGTGAAAATAATTCTAAACATATCCAGTCTAGTAGTAGTGTTAAGGATAAAACAGTTTCCTTAAATCTGTCAGCTAAACTTACATCTTTTTTATAGTATGTTTTACAGACCTAAATTTAACACAGCGACTTCTTGGTTTAAGGCATTTGACTTTTAGCCACTTAGTCCCAGGTTCGAACCATACCCGAACTACTTTGGTTTGGGCACTCGTGTATCGACATTAAACTTCATATTGTGAATGTGACTCATACTCAAGTACCTGGTGATCGAATTAATTCATAAATTATATATAGCCCTTGTCAGATTTACTTACCAGTTCGTTCATTTCTCTCACTAGAACATTCTGATTCATCAAAAGGCTCAATGTGTTTTGATATCTTGGTTTTCTTTGTTAATTTGATTCGTTCAAAGTCATTATTAAATCTGTTATACCAGTTTCTTCTTACAAGTTTTCACTAAGTAGGTTTGTCAGGAAATGATAAAGACTAATTGTTACGATTATTAGACTACTGAAATGATTATTTGTTTAGTCAAATTAATGATTTTCTAGTAAATTATTCGTTGATTCTAACTAAACTGATCATATATTCACGTTTTATGGTGACAAGAATATTATTTCTGATTAAATCTTAATGGTATTTTATGGTCTAGTGGTTACGATACCTAACATACATACTGCTTTAGTTTGAAGCCTACTCAACGTACTTTGATTTTTTATATGTGGGCAGACAGAAAAATGACTTGATTATTTGACTAAGAGAGCAATCTTGCTTTTATACAACTTTTATTATGTTCTTTATATTATATATTCTTAATGTTTTGTTTACCTCAGGAAAGTTTAGGTCGTTGCCAGACAAAAATGCAGGAATTACAAATATCAGTTAATGCCGAAAAAGCTAAAATGGATACTGTGGAGGATACTGTGTTTCATGATTTCTGCGTACAAATCGGTGTAGAAAACATTAGGTAGTTGAAAAATGTGGAATATATATACAGGATTATCAAAATTTCCTTTCATTGATAGTAATATGTTTTTAAGAGAAATAATTTTTTAAGTGTTATTCTAGCTGTTTACAATGTGCATATTCATCTCTGTGTCATACTTAAAAATGAACTATTTTAAGTTTGATAAGCTGAATAAACAAGTCATTTGTTTGTTTGAGAGAAAATTAAATCGATTAGAAACAAAGAAGACGAAATAATGCCAACTTCAGTGTAAATCTAAACATGAGAAATGTAGTTCAGAAGTAAAAAATAATAAAGAAGTATGAAAATCAGTGGATAACACCTAACTCAAAATCTAAATAAGCTTTTAAAATAAATGTATCTGCATCACCGATCAATCGTTAAGCTATGTAACCTAACCAGTGTTGCATTAAAATTCTTTGTACTGTTTATCGTCTGTTGAAAAAAACAATTCACTCACCAAGCTGTGGCATGATATTAGGATGTATTTTGGTTGCAGGTAGCAGATCATGATAATTGTGACCAAGCATAAAACTTGAACTCAGAAATTCTCTCCAATCGACTTCAAATAAATTAAACCAAACTAGATCCCATCTCAACATCTTATCACCTAGCTTAGTAACTATTTCTCATCATTAAATCAATAAATGATGATAAGCATCCCAGTTCTTATCATTCAGCCCAAATATACACAATATAAGGCCACTGATAAACCATTTCAAAGTCCGAAGTGTCTAGTTCATTCTGTAGTAATTCTTTATGGTGTTATGAGGGACTTGGCTTAGTAGTTAAGACGTCTAACTTTTATCGTTTAAGCCTCAAGTTCTAAACCCTCTCCACCTACTTTAGTTTGAGCGACTGGGTAGCATCATTAGGCTTCATACCTAGAATGTGGTTCATATCCAGGTAAGTGGTGTGTTGATATTAATTAGTTTTGTGGAACACCACCATGGAAGTTAGATATTGTATGTATTTTGTCATTGATTTCCTAACTAATTATATTACTTGCACGTAATGAAATTCACAAACAGTTTTCTTCAAGGTTACCATAGGTCTGGTATTTGTTTTATTATGTTAGTTGATGAGTTAATTATACTGTATAAAGTCTTTTCAACGCATGTTTGTTTTATTTTACATCCCACTTAGGCAATATGAGGATCGAGAGTTGAGAGTTGCTCGTGAACGTGATCGTAAACGGCTTGAGTTTACAAATCAACTTCAAAGAATAAATAACCAACTGGAATATGAGCGATCACGAGATACTGAAGGTTTGTTTGGTTCGGGTTGCTTCAATATGTATTTTATACATGTTTTCTTTTAAAATAACGTTGATAAATGGAATTCTTACAATTTAATTATACAGACAGGCTTTCTTTAAAATCATGTTTTAAGTTTATTGTTTAAAGTATTCTAGATGCTTTTGTAATTTGTGGTCGGCAGATACTAATATGGCGGATGAGATACTCCTAGTAACAAAATCTAGTTTGACCAGGTAGATTGAATTTTATTTATTATTTATTTATTTTAGCACATAGATATTGGTACAAGGAGGCACCAAATACATATGCGCAACACAGATCTCATTTGATATGTGTGAGGGCTGTGATACTGCCGGGGTGCTCAAACCGAAGCAGGTGGTTTTCTTAGGGGGCCACACCCCGAGCCTTCGACCTAAAGGTCTGATCCATAAGGCAGTGGAGCAACGTAAGGAGATGCAGTCCCATGGTAGCCGGTGACCAACAATTGGTTCATACGCCATTTGTTCCTTCAGGACACTGGAGCCCATGTGCACCATTGGTTTGGAATCAGGGTTTTCCAACTCCCCTAGGTGGACTCTCCATGTCCACTAACCCGGCTAAAGCGACGGACATTCTCTTTTCGTCCTCTCAATTTCGTAAACAACACCCCTGCCACGAGAAGGCAGTGAGTAGGACTTCCCTGGCAGAGGCTATATACGCGTGGCCATGTGAGAGCATTTGGAGAGGGAGAGCGGACTCTCCTCACTGTCGGCCGTACCAAGCGCATTTTGGGGCAGTGGTGCAATGAACAAGACATTTAACTTTCAGCTAATGTCTCTTGTTTTAGCGTCGTTCTACTTTTTACTGTCTAGGCAACCGATTAATATCAAACCCAGTTACACAAATTTGTAATTGGTGAAAAGTCAGAAAATGACTCTTCATGTCCAGATTCTGCTGTCTTTTACTGTGATCCTAGCTATGTTATGTTTCATACCTTCTAAATTTACTGTTGCGTTTCATTGTTAATACGTTACTACCAATGCTGTAATGATTGGTGATCGATGGTAGTTGTATTCCGCATAACTTCTCATAAAGTCAATCCCTAATCTATTAGATATTTAAAAAAACTGACCATCTGTCTTGTTATCTAAATAACTTCTATTGGAGTAAGAGGTAACATAATTTCAAGTTGTTTACTAAATCATAACTAATTAGTTAAAAGCGAAAACCATAACTACTATTGAAGTTAGATTTATGATTGTTATGTCAATTATATTGTTTGAATAGCTACTTTTAATCGTAGGGAAAAATTATTAAATTTCCGATATTTGTTGAATATTTAATATGATCTGTTGAAATCAGTTGATTGTCGAAGAATAAAATTGAAATATCCTCACTACTAACTATTAAAACCAACCATCACGCGTTCATCACTTGGTAAACTCTAACATATGAAGAAATTTGCATGTTATGAGTACATTCTGATAATACGTTCTTTATGGTATAAAAATTGTTATATTTTTCGTTGTTGCTCACTCCTTTAAAAATACCCAGACATAATCAAGTGTGTTCAGATACCATTAGAAACATAAATTATCTCATTAAATGTGTGGATTTATCACTTAAATAAATGTAAATATTAGTTACCGTTTCCTGGGATGTTACCTTTCTTAAACTCCATCCCTGTAATAAATAATTTTAAGCAACTCTCATTTATGATACACCAATATTCATCTATCCGTCCAGAACTCCAACTTTCAATAATTCAATGTCAACTTCGAATTAACCATTTAACTTGTTGTCCACTTTCCATCTAAGACTAATTACCAGTATGTACTCCTAACTCACTACTCAGGACCTTCAGGCTTCTCAACGGAATGTATTACCTTTAGACCATTTATTCTGGATCCGATGGTTCACATTTCCAATATCATTTAATTTAAGGTATTCGGTGGGGTCGATTGGCTTTTGTCAACTTGTGTCGTAGGCGAGATATCGGCCGAATTTATTACGAAGTAGTTCATTCCGTTCTACTTTATGGATGTGAAGCATGACCATCAGGAATAAAGGATATTCGTAGGGTTCTAATATTCGATCACAGGTATCTTCGAAGCGATGCTCGTGTATTTTATGATCACGGAGTAAGCAATGTCTGGGTTAGGAATCGGGTACTAGGCGATGACGACAAACCGATTGATGAGACAGTAGATCTTCACCAACTAATGTGGTTGGGACATGTGTTACGTATGCTTGTCCACTGCTTATCTCGAAGAGCGATGTTTTCTGATATAAAAGCTAGGGGAGGCCAGACCTAAACGTGGCATCAAACTATTAAGGCATTAACAATCGAACTTTGGCGTGTTAATCGGTGTAGACTACCTAGTTGGTGTCGGCATGATTATCGCAACTAATGGTTAGAGACCTTGAATGGCATGTCTAAAAATCGTTTGTAGTGGCGCAGATGCATCCGTTCTTTGTCCTCTTCCGAATGCTGACAATCTAAATTCCTCATAACTTTTTTTGTTTTTATTTTGCTGACATATTTTCTTCCGGAATCATATCTTCGATGCCTAATCCTTCATGTTACCAGTAATACTGTTACTATCTCTAATATTCTGAGATTTGACCTGACAGTTTGTTCTCATTGTGCTAATGGGGTAAATCGAACTGATGTACATATGTACCAAATTCTGTGCTGTGACTGACTGAATTAATGGGGTCATTGACAGTGGCGAACTAGATAAAACAAGTGTTCGCTGCTCTCTTATTTTATAAATTTCACCGATTGTCAACAGCTATTTCAGCGTTGAATTCATCTTTGCATTTGAACAACTAATCCTGTTATTGTTTATCGTATCATATTTCTGTGTAGCAAATGTTAAACGTTGGGAAGAGACTGTTTCCGTTGAACGAACTGAAATGGATAAATGTAAAAAACAGGAGAAAAAAATTAAGGAAGAAATGGAACAAGAAGAGAAAAAGAAGACAGAGGTTGAATCACGTGTCGGTGAATTGAAATATCGTGCAGAAATGCTTGATGGAGAATTAGGTGAAATTCGTAGACGTTTAGTGAATAAACAACGTGATATTCAAAAATTACAGAAGGATTTGAATCAAGCCGAAGCGAAATTAGAATCTAGACGAGCTGAACGTCATTCACTTTTACAAGCTGCTAAGGTAAATGAATAAATCATCACTGAGTATATTGATATTTGTCTGTCTGCCTGAAGTAGTTAGTAGAAACCCTCATTTGATCTAAGTTTCGTGCTATTGTGACGTACTACTTGTTCGGACGAATATAAGTAATATGTATCAGGAATTGAAAGTAGAATTCTTACGGACAGAAGAGGAAAGAAAACAGTAAGCAATCGAAACAACAACAGGAATGAAAGAACGTTGGAGTTTGTAACGGACAACTCAAGGAACATGGGTAAATAGTGTATTTGATGTATTGCTTCGTAGTGTACAAATACATTATGTGATTTTGCATACTGAAATAAATTGGTTTACTACATAAGACTTCGTTCGCTGCACAAATTGACAATTGTGTGCAAGACGCAACTGTATTTTTAAAGGAACTGACACCTCCGGTATACTTTGAATCTACATCACCAAGCTCCATAGCATGAATCGCCATCACAGAGTTGTTCAAGTTGCAGCTAGCTGAAATGTTTATAAGTGATTGATCACTGATTAGTGAACGATGTCATGATTCTCTAGTGCTTTAGTCCTAACCGAATTCTATCGACCGTGTTGCAACGTGGCCACTAGTCCAAATGTAATTATTTGTCTATGAAGGACGTATCGTCTGTCTTTTTGTCATTTACACAAAATTTGTTTTTTATTTTCATGACTATAATAAGGATTATCTAAATATTTCCGGTGTATTTAAATTTTAGATGGAGGATTTAGATCTGCCATTGAAACAAGGTTGTGATCCAATTCCTGAATTGAATAGTCAGTTGACAGATAGTGAAAATATGGATCCTAGTACAGAGGAGATGGCTCATATTTATGAATTGGAAGCTCGTTTACCGATTGATTTCAAACATCTTGATAAGCCTTTACGACAAATGACTGATGAGAAAGAAGTCAATAGAAAGTAGGTCATCCATACTGATTACGGTTTCAAATACTAAGGTTGTCTTTGTTTTCTTGTATTTACGTCGATCATTTTATAGAGGTTCAATTTTGATTTATGGGAGTAAACTACGTAGAGTAATAGATTCTGTTGGTCCCTCCAGCAGTATTCAGAAATTCTGTCCAGTATAGCAAAACACTACGCCTTAATTACGTAAATTCCAACCTGAAAATATTCAACGCTATCACATTAAAAATTCACTGCTTCTTATCATTCTGTTCTTGACATTGTAGGATTTTCGAAAATAACAAATAATAAAACTGTATTACTATATTAGAATAAACAGAACTGACTATCACGTCAAGATAGAAGCCAAATTTCAATGTATTCAGTGAGAAAATGTAATTATACACTTCTGTTGTATTTTATCTTGGTCATTCACTCACCATCAAAAAATTCGCTTTATGACATTGTGGCATGATGTGTACGGTCTCAATTGATTGGAATGCGATTGGCCTTACAAAATTGATTCTGTTGTAGATCATCCGTCTTGCTTTCTGGCGTAGTTCTACTTGATGGCTCGTGTCAGCAGTTTTGTTTTGTAGTCATCTGTCATTGGATCAGGTCGTAACGTTACATTTCATTCATCGATCAACATCTTACTGATTTATTTTAACACTAAAACTCGTTCACTCAAAAAGCCCTAATTTTTAACACATGGCATACTCGTTTTTATCAGGATACTTATTTGCTCGTATAAATCCCTTTTTATACAAGCAAGCATCAATATTCATTGGTTTGCACAGTAACCTCAAATGGTACTGGGACACCTTAATGTATATTTTTAAACAGATGACTAAATTAATTAGATATCCATCCCAATGTATTTCGTCCTCATCCAATGTACTGACGATAAGCTCTATCATCTGTTTGTTACAGATAAAATTCAAACTAGTTTACTAGTCTTCTAGTATCATAAATTTCAAAATAGCATGTTTTTGTCATGTATTTCTTAAAATTGTTTTATAGAGCTGAAGAAATGCAAAATCAAGTTGATTCAATGTTAAATAGTTTGGCTCGTATACAAGCTCCAAATTTACGAGCAGGTGATAAATTAGGCAGTGTTGAAGAACGCCTACGATCAACTGAAGCTGAATTTGAAGATACACGACGTAGAGCTAAACGGGCTAAAGCTAGATTTGAACGTGTTCGTCGGTTACGATATAATGCATTTATGAATTGTTTCAATTCCATCGCTGATAATATTGATCCGATTTATAAAAGTTTATCAAGAAATCCTGGTGCTCAAGTAGGTTTTGCATAGTTTATTCATTTGTTATGATATGCTAAGAAACTGAGACTGTTAATGTACTGAGTGGAACATTTCTATGTTAAACTTATCACGACTGTTTATTCAGTCACAAAGAAAATTGAAGTAGATTTTATATTTTTTGTCTCGCTCCATCTATTCATCTGTACGAAAGTGAAAACAGTCGAATTTTGATTTATTGTTTTGTCTTATTTCACTTATCATAAAGTAACAAACTGGTTTTCTATGTCCATATAATCGCTCATTAATAATTAGACACTTTTCTTTTTGTCAGTAAGGAGTTTGTGTGGGTTATCGGATTTCGGGAATAATTTGAAATAAGAAGATTCATCCGGTCGATTAGTAGTGACTAAATATTGATAGGCTCTACTCATTCTATACTTCGCTTTTGAGAATATATAAGATCTCCACTATCGTTTCTTAAACCTCACACAAAAATCCAGTTGATTTCTTACTAAATCTGATTGATTTTTTAGTGAAGTACACTTTTACCAAATGTTCTTTTTATCTTGTCACATTTGTCTTTACCTTTTAAAGAATCTCTGTTAAAAAATTAGTATCAATTGTTTGCCAGTGTTTAACAACGTAACTTATTGTAATAATGGTAACAAAAATAATATTAGACTGATCCTATCTATGTAGTAATTTTTTTTTAGATATTTATGGTAAACTAAACGGAATCAAACAAAAATAAATCAGTATGGGGATTTGTATTTGTAATGTCTTCACAGTTGAAATCACGAGTCGATCTAAGCTGGACCGCCATTGGAAACCTGGAAGCACTGGACGGCCGTTTGATTGAAGTTAGACATCAACACCGTTGGATGCCAGCCCAGTGGTCTAGAGGCTAAGCGTTCGCGCACGAGAATTTAGGTCTTAGGTTCGAGTCCCGCGTGTGGGGTTGTAGATGCACACTACTGAGGTTTCCCATACTATGACGAAACGGTCGTCCTGTGCTTCTGGCTTAGATCGAGCTTAGATCTAGTGGTGGTCTAGCTTAGATCAACTCGTGAATTCAACTGCGAAAATACTACTATCTCCACAAACCCCTCATATTGATAAATAACATATCAAACAAATAACATGGATGAAAATTATCAAGCAAATTTTTTTAGAGCAAACAAGAGGTAGCTACATTAAAAAGTTATTTACATATACTGTATGTATGTTAAAAGTGTCCAAAGTAGTTGATAAATTTCTAATCATAGAATAATACCTTCAAATATAACATTTGTATGTTAACTGAATCAGTTTTATGTTGTTCAGATAGTGTAGCATCAACTGAAAATATGTACAATATATGTACGTTAGTGACCATCTAGTAAGCTGAATAACAATGAAATTGGAAAACAACAAGTGAAAATAAAAGCGTATTCTGTGTTAACGGGATATAGATTAAATTATAGCATATTCCATGCAGGACTGTTTTGGGTCACTCTGATTGTCCATTTCTTAATCAATCAGCGCTAACGGATACTTGGAAAAGACTAGAATATTCTTTTGCAAAAACGATAAATATACGGATGTTTTTTCTTTTTATGATTCCTACTTCCATTCAACCTTGTTTATATAGAATATAATTACGTTCCTGTTCAACTATGTTCTGATTTAGGGACTTGTCTAGCATAGTAGTGTCCAAGATTACAAAGCAATAAGAGAACTCATAACAGTTTGTTTTTCAAAACGATAGACTATTGGTAATGGATTTTCAGGTTAAACATTGTTCAACAAAACAGTGATAAGAAACAGACTAATCGGGTAAAATTTATTTATAAATTAGATTCTTACTTAATCAACATCTACAGTGTACATTTTTTAACATCTTATCATTTTTCTTCTTTTTTTCATTTCATACTATACTACACCTAGGCTAGTTTATTGCCAACTAATGCAGAAGAACCATATTTAGAAGAGATACAATTTCAATGTGTTGCACCTGGTAAACGTTTTCAACAAATGGATAGTTTATCCGGTGGTGAGAAAACAATAGCTGCATTAGCTCTACTTTTTGCAATGCACCGATATAATCCATCACCATTCTTTGTACTAGATGAAATTGACGCTGCATTAGATAATACGAATATTGGTAAAGTAAGCACAATCGAGTTATAAAAAAGTATTGGTCTATTTTATTTTCGTTTTTTATCGTACTAAGAAAGCTTAGCTTATCTTGATTTTATTCTCCTTATTATATTACCAATTTCTTTCTCTTAAAGGATAACCTCGGTGATATTTCTCTATTTCATACTTCTTTAATGATCTTTACTACCATCTGACCGATTGTCATATAATCCGCAATCGTTATATGTATTATTATATAAACAAAGTTGTTGCATATGAAATTCCAGTTTTCTCTATCTCTCTAACTTTGAAGTGTTGATGTGTAGAATGTGTTCATTCTATCTGAGTTTATATTGGTTCTCGTTCTTTGTAGAATAATCCCAATCGTTTATCAATAGAATTTACCTTAATACAATTAGAAACCCACCTATCCAATTCGTAATCGTTTTTTTAACATTGAAGGGATGATTTTCTTATTAGTTAGATTCCTTATAAATAGTTAACATTGGTTGGAGTATCATTTTTGTTTTGTTTTAGATATTTCATTGTTGTTTACTCTATCATCCTCTGTTTAATCGTAGTGTATATAGTTCAAATTAATCAATAAAATTCGTTAAACAATAACAAATGTAGGATATGTCTAATTATTCTATTCATCAACTCACAGTTACTAGTCAAATATTCGTGGACTTGGCTTCAATTCAAATTAAGTATGAAGAGTTTTGATACTACGTAGATGTCTAAATCAGAGTAGTTGAGATTAGGGTTCAAATTTATAATTTATTAGCTGAAATTCAATTACGGTAACCATTGAGTCACTTTTTCACAGTTTTTACCCAGTTACACAATATGCGACATGAAATATAGGTTCACAATGTCTAACCTCTAACTACTTACAATGAAATAAAATATTTTCATTGTAAAGGTAATAGTTTATTAAATAACTGTGATACCGTTATTAAACAATTGTTAAAAATCTATGATATAATTAAAAGTTGACTATTCTTACTATTGTGGTGCGTGCTACATATATTGATATAAGTAGTATATTAAGCGAGTCAGGAATCCAATGTCTGGCAGCAGAAGATGAGGGAAGATCAAGAAAGCAAGAGCGGGAATAGAATGCAATTTGTATGAAAATGTAAAAACAATGAATTCTGAAGCATTTTGAGACAATTGGTGGACATTTTGCAAATTAACAATTTACTAGACAGTTTTCAGATGTTTTTGAGATGCTCTGTAATTTTGTATCAAATTCATTCGGTTGTCCCCACCCGTGTTCTGTTCACTACACTATCATCGTTATAGTTCTCATTAATCATCTGATTGACAACCTAGTGCAGTTTTTATTGATACATTAAACATTGTTAAGTAATCATCACAATGTTTGTTTAAATGATCCAAGCGTTGAAAAACTGTATTTCCATTGTTATATTCACTTTTTTCTTCTTTTAAACAAATGGGTTTCTTTAAAAGAAAAATCAGGCAACTATAACACGGTAACAATAATATTATGAAATATAAACTCTTAATATTCCTGTTGTAAATAAATTTTAAAAAAATTGACTTGAAAAATTCCAATAGTGTGATTTTTAATAATATATTAATTTTTGATGGAGTTTTGTTCTCTGAGCTGGATGGTTTGGTTGTGGAGCTTTCATCGTTCTCCTGAATGACATCATCAGCACAAACTTCAGGTAGAAAGCTCCACAACTAAACCACCCAGCTCATAAAACAAAACTCCATCAAAATCATCCACCTGAGCTTACTTTAGCGATTAGGTTGACTAATATTTTAGCTAAAATCTGAGAATTGGACGTAATCCCATCTGACTGGTTGCGATCATTTATTGTCCCAATATATGAGAAGGGGTCAAAATCATCCTGTGACAACTATAGAGGGATTAGTTTGACTAATATAGCGTCTAAAATACTAGCCTCAATAATTATCGGGCGTTTAACTAGGACTCGTGAACTGCAAACACGAGAGAACCAAGCTGGCTTCAGACCTGGTCGTGGTTGCATCGACCACATATTCATCATTCGTCAGATTTTAGAACATAGGCATTTTTATCGGTGTCCAACAATGATAATTTCTTTTTACTTAAAGCAGCATTTAATTCCCTAGACCGCGAGATTCTGTGGCAGTGTCTTTCATTGAAAGGCGTACCTCAGAAGTACATAAACCTTGTAAAGGCTCTTTACTCGAACACTACTAGTCGAGTGAGAGCTTATGGCAAACTGTCATCTGCTTTTGCAACCTCAAGTGGTGTCCGTCAAGGCTGTCCACTTTCTCCATTTCTGTTTAATTTCATCATAGACGTACTGTTGGAAATAACGTTCTCGTCGACTGAATTTTCGGGAATCGATCTCCTTTTAGGAGGTCCACTCAAATGATATAGTCCTGTTTGGTGAAGACGCTGATAAAATGCAGAGTTTTTTTATAGCACTGAGCAACATTTCTTTCTTTCTACGAACCAATTCTTTCTTTCTGTACTATATCCTTACATAAAATCTTTCCTTTATATATCACACCATTGAGTTAACTGCTTCTATGAATCCGGTGTTCATCTTGCTGTGCTAATGAGGTGTGGCAACTTGAACCGATACATGTATGTGCTTGATCCTACGTTGTAACTGACTGACTGACCATCTCAAAATACTAGTTTACAATATGAATTCGTTTAGTTTTTGTCGTGATTCTTTCTCTGATATATGCTTGCATCCATTTATTCTATTTATCTATTTATAATTACTATTAGGTTGCCAGTTTTATACGTGAATATGCTTCAGCACGTGCACAAATTATTGTTATTTCACTGAAAGAAGAATTCTATAGTCGTGCTGATAGCTTAATTGGTATTTATCCAGATATTGTAAGTATCATTATTATTATTGTTATTATTCAATGTTGAATTATATAGAAAAGATAAAAAGAGCATAATTTGTAATTGATTATTTCTTTTGATAAACTGGTATATTTTATCGTATACCTGTTACTAAATACGTTGATTACCTAGATATTTCAAGACTTAGCAACATGAAGTGATGACAATTAGAATTTAGAAATGATGGATTAAGTACATTTTTTTCACAGTTAAAAATGGGTTCCAAATCTTACTAAAATATGGTGTTATTGTGATGTGTGCTACTGATCTCGACAGATAGATATAGTATGTATCATCAATCGAAAGTGAAATGTCTGGTAATAGAAGGTGAAGAAAATCGAGAACAGAGAATGATTGGTGTGAAAACAAAGGGACAATGAAGTCTGAGACAATTGATTGACATTTGCACAAGGAACAGTCAAGTTTGATACAACTGTTGGATATTTTTCAAATTAAGTATTTACTATATGATTCTCATATTATAATAAGGTGTTCTCTGTAATTTTGTATTGAAATACATTCGATTATCCTCACTTGTGCTGTCGTTCACTATATTATAAATGCAAACACAATTAGAGTATAGAATTTTAAAATATTTAACTATGACGTGTCCTATCAGTAAAAATCGCTGAACACAACAGGTTGAAGATGATTAGAGATGTTTACTATAAAGGCTGATAAATAACTGAACTAAACAAATTAACTAAGGTGATAGCTGCATCTTTTCAGAGCATAAAAAACTAAATGAATAATATGAATCATGACGTAAAAGCTGTTTTTAGAAAGTTGAAGGTAATCCATCCTAAAAACTGATTAAACGTGATAATGTCTATGACTCATGGTCACATAGTTAAATATTTTGATTGTATTGTATTCTGTGGGTTAGTTGACTCAATTACTTTCACACCTGGTTTTGAACACCACTTATCAACGCTTACGTAACATGGAATTACTTATTCATTACAAGAGAAGTGAGATCGGGCAGATAGAGCTTATAAAATGCAGCATATCTACACAAATCTAAGTAAACCAGTAATCTGTTAAACGGGATACTCATTATAATACTTCATCGTTTAAAGATCAACAGTTTAGGCAGTCAAAGTACTTTATTTCCAACCCGTAGGATTTTCATGTATATGAGGTGTTAATCAGTAGGGTATAATTATCTATTCCCTATTATTTGAAACTACTAATCAAATTCTACTTTTTATGTGTATGTGTCACTATGATACTGTTTTATGAATATGTTTTCGCTTAATGTGACTTTTTTTGTTTACTGTACAGTGCCATAGTTGTTACACTTTTCAAACAGATAAAGCTTGAAGTAGTCAATTTTACTTTTCACTGGTAACTTTCAGATTATTGTATCAGTAGTACGTACAAGAAGCATAACATATTAATCAGTCACTGAGTTGTTAAGTACTACCGTTTCACCAAATGTATAATGTTGATCTTTGTATTCTACAGTGTCTCACTAATCAGTATTATGCTTCTAACTCTTGGCTTACGAACTATACAGCGGAAGAAAATTATGGCTATGACGAAGTTCGTCTTTTCAAAATATTCCTCATTGCATTGTTTAAGGCTCGTGTATGTTTATAGGTTCATAGATCGACAGGAATTTATTGGTTATGAACTGGGCTTAATGAGTAATTCACTATACTCAGAATGACGTTGCTCATACTTATATTGATATTGACTTTTGACCATAAATAAGGTTGCCTATCCTGCAACTTTACTTGGCATATCATTCAGTCAACTTCGCCTTTTGATAACCATAGTATTGTATTTGTAGTGCGCTATTGATTTATTGATGTCAAAATATTACCATCTCATCATGCATTTCTGTTTGTTATTTGTTTATATTACAGGAAAATAATTGTCTTGTCAGTCGTGTTTTAAGCTTTGATCTGTCGAAATATATTGATACCGGTGAACAGTAACCAGTAAACACCGGCTTGTGGGGCAGCGAACACACTCAGATAGTTGTGCATTTCTTTTATACCTTAATTAATTTATTTTATCTATTCTAGGTTGTATTCCAATATCGTAAGGATTTATTCTATTCTATTTCACTAATTTTTTTATAATTTTATTATCTACAAGTGGGCAATATCACTTACCTTCGCTCAGTAAATACGGCAACAGATATTCTATTTTTTGTTGTTGTTATACATAGAATTATGATAATTCTCCTTCATCAGTCAACTAACCGTATAGTACTGATATGTTTTATTACATTTTTTACTAACCATTAAAATCTTGTGTTCATCCTATATTTACGTGTGTATAATCTACTCTGTACAATTGTTATTGTATTTTTAAATAATATATTTTTTGATAAAATATGTTTTTTTTAGTGTATTTGTTTTCATTTCCAACAAGTGTTTGAGTACGTTGTTACGTAATATGATGGGATGGTTGATCCGGTTCTATTAAGAAACCGAGGTTTCTGATTAGATACTATGGTTCACTTGGAGATGTCTGTCTAATGGTATGGTATGGTGTATCGTCTAGATTAGTGTTGATTTAGCATTAATTCTTTGTTATATACATATAACCATTGACTAGTTGAGTTTATAAATACCCAAAGAAAAACAATCCCTCGATTTTTAATTTCAACTAAATAATAGGTTTCAGGTCATTCTTGAAACGAAGAATATTTGTAGCGCTAAATGAGAATTTTAGAGGTATTGTGTTCTGTGAGTTGGACAGTTTAAGTGTATAATTATCCATCCAATTTCGAGAACACAATACCTCCAGGTAATTCTTGATAATGATTTATAAAGAAGAATCAAATCGGAATTCTAGGTTTCGTTTAGGATTTTTCACTTAACTTTAACTTGAATCTATCTAATCAAATTATTCACTCTTTTTAATAGATTCGTCTAACATTACTAATATAAATAATTAATCTCCCTCGTTAACTTTTATGCAACAGTACTAAGGTGTCTCTCAAACTATATAAACATTCACTTGATATTGTTTTACTTGAATCTTCCCATTGATGTTCTAGGACTGAAATTGATCAGTCCCAGAGTGAACATCAACTCTGAGATGCAGCTACATCCAGCTGACGAGTCCCAAACAGGACGAAACGCGCGTCCTGAATTCCACTGCTAGCCACTATCCATCTTTGCTTATATAAACATTCGTAAAGTTTCAAGATCAATATGGTGTGAGGGATCCAAGCCCTTGATTGTCCAGTTCAAATTCAACAGTTAGTTTATCAGTACTTTTGTAACGGTTCAAGAAAACCATAGATAACAAACAGGAACAAAACGTGCATCTTCATAGACTTCCTAAAATATCTACAATTCCAAGGGTGTCAGTCTAGAAGTAAATGTTCACGTCAATCGTGTTTAGTATTATCGATTTCATGTATACTTGAGAACACTAAAGCCTTCTCTAAGTAAGTATTACTTCTAAGTAGACGATTACTGGGCCAACATAAAAAAATGTTTCTATCGTCTGTACCTGTAGCTTCTTATTTGAAATTCTAGTCTTCAAATCAATAAACCACACACTTGTATCACACTTTCTTTTTTATTTCACTGAAACCTTAACGAAGTGATGTTGGGATCATTGTTGCTAGCCTACTTCTGTCACAAATGATATCCTAAATAAAATGTTCTCACTGAAAAATGTTAATCATTTATAAAACGAATCATTTTACCAAAATCTTGTTTACTCTGAAAGTCAATGCTCTTAAAAATATTCGTGTTAACTATTATGGATTGAAAGTATTTGTAACTTAGTGATCTAACGTACGATCTGGTACAATCCAAGTCGTTACACTTGTCAATAGGCACAACATGAGGGTAATTTAAGTAGGTGAGAATCTCACGAAGATAAATGATATACATTTTAGTGTAGGCGAAACGTATGTTGAATAAATATTATCAAAGAATAGGAGAAGCGGGATGAAAGTCAGCAAAAAAAAGGAAAACAGACAACAAATTTCAATCATTAGAAAATACAGTTATCTCAGTGAACAGAGGTTTACAGCTTCATCAATCGAAGGGCAAGATAAGCTTTCTGTATACATTTTATTTAAAAATATAGTTAAGAAAGTTCTGCATAGTGTAATTCCCATCAAACAATAGTAATCTAATCATCATTTTGTGGCTCACTGATTTTTTTATGGAATTCTTCCTCGAATTTCTTTTCTTGAGTAATGATTTATGCTTTATTTATTTTTTTCAGGCACACTTTTTATCTCATGTTGAATATTGTTTAATTTCATGCCAAGACCAATTGAAAGTAAAATTTATTCCTGAAGCAAGTGAACGGTTTGTTTTAGGATCACCAAGGTAAATTGTTTGCATACATATTATTTCAAGTAGTTATATCTAAATTCTTGCCATTGAGATTACAAGTCGGCCTAATTTAGACAACCATTGAAAATCTGAGAGCACTGAACAGCTGTTTCGTCCCAGTACAAAATGCAGAAACGCTCATCCATAACCTTAACCCTAGGAATCAAACTTAGAACCTTCGACTTCCTGTGCGAACTCTTATCCTCTAGATCACTTAGCGGACACCCGACGGTGTTATTATATAAGTTCAATCAATTAGAGATATTGCACAACTCTCATCCATTCTCTATGGTGAATAACTTTCTCACATCCGACACAAATTAAACTCCACTGATCCAGGCTTTTAAGTAGAACTCCAGGAGTTTTATGTCGAAGCAGGTGTGAAGTCGTGAACAGTTGAGTTCAACCATTTAGGGTATAAGCAAAATACCCACTAAAAACGATTGAAGATAGTCACACAATATCGTGGATTGATTGGAGTTAGACTTGTAGACCAGTGGATTCAGGCGCAGTGGTCTATAGGTTAGCGGTCGCGCGCAAGATCAGGTGTCCTGAGTTCGTCCCTCTGATGGTGGTTCGTGGATGCACACTGCTGTGGATTCTTATAATTAGACAAGAAGAGTGTCCAGTGCATTTAGATTTTCAACGCTTGTCTAGCTAAGATCAGTTCATGAGTTAAAATTTGTTTACCTTGCGAAACACAAAAACCGCTATCTACATGCACTTATTTATACATACATTTTACTGATATTTAGTGATGAGTTAACGAATATCAAATGTAACTGATATAGAGGAAATACTTAAATGGATTTTTTACAGAATGAATCAAAAACCCATGCTCTATGCTGTACTGAATAAATCTTACACTGAAATACAATTGTTGTCGTACCGAGCAATTTTCATAGTAACTTAAATGTGATGTCGTGTTTGATCCTGTCTTATAGCTCGTCCTTTTAGCTAGTTATGGATGAGTAAGTTTTCCGTAAAAAAGTAAACTGACCTTTTTCATGTCAACTAGAATCGTTTTAGCAGGTCACATCCTCATCGTGCTTTTATTTTGTTTACCGGATCTTTTACTAATATTCATTCGTTTATATGCGTAACTTCAATTCTCCTTTTACTGTATTAAGACTTTTCTGCCCTCATTATTACCTACACTACTTTGTTTTTCCTCATTACTTTCTTTTTCCTATTCCATATACTAAAATCTATTGCATTGAAGCAGTACATCAACACATATGACCCTGTTTTTTTCTTAAAAATCTTTTCCCTGTTTAGTTTTGGTATTATTTCTTATTTTCTAATCTAATTCTCAATTATCTTTTGTTTGATTTCCTTTCTTCATTGTTCCAGTTCATATGGTCATATTAGTGCTGTTCTTTCAGTCTATGGTGATTTAGTATATGAAGCTGTAAGTTTTTAAAAGAGAATTATATTTTTACCTGTTAATTAATTATTCATTTATAATTGTATTAACACCTCTTATCAACTGTTATACATTTACAGTTCGATATTTAATGTTTAACAACATTTTGCATACAAAGCGTTCCTCAACTTGAATTCGAACATAAACGATAAATAATCTTTTCAATAATTTCTCATCAGGTTCTACAATTATAAATCCAAATTAATAATCCATGAGGTTGGCCAGATTTAAGGCAGAGTACATCATCCAAATGAGAAATTATTGAAAAGAATATTCTTCGTTCATACAATTATGTTTTAATATAATGGGAATTTTCCAGTGATAAATAATCTGTCTAAACAAACCTGTCATCTTAGATTGTTATGTAATATACTGACAATTTTGTGTACTAAGCGAATGATTCCCCACCGTAGCTTTAATGGTAATGACCAAGACTCCTTATTATCCTCGTCTTCCCTGCCCGCTAACTAGAAACAAGTCCTAGCTTGTCTAGAAGATTTATAGATGGAGACCCAAGTATTAAACGCATTCATCTATACACAAAATTAATTTTTGTAATTATTAAAGCTTTTCAACTTTTACACAAAGTTAATACAGATGAATATATGTATAAAAAATGTGATTGGATTAATAAATACAAATGAGTGTTAGACTAAACAAAAGTTACACTGAATTAATTCCAAGTCAAATGAACGGAAATTACATTTAAATCAATATATAACCTTAGATTCAATTTCTTCCTGGTAATTGTATTCGGATATTTAACATAAGCAAGTAAATCGTTCTTCTAGCCAGTATCACCTCCCACCTGCTTCTGTCAATCTGGTAATCTCTAAATATCTATGCAGTCTTAATCCTCTTCTTCTGAGCAGCTAGTTGACATTCAAACGTTAGAAATATGTTAACGATTAGGTCGGACCATAGAACAGTACAAACTACGTTTGTGATTATTCTATTCACTTTTTTAGCTATATGACTCGTTAAAATCTGTTCAATTTTTGAGACAATTTTCATCACAAGGACCTAATTTTGTAATTTTATTTAGAAAATTTGAATTTCCTTGTTTTTGCACCAAAAGCGCTTTTTTTCAGCTTTATGTTGTATTTCTCACTTGGGAGAATCTCAAATGCTATTGGTTCATAAATGGATCCCAAAAGTTACCATTCATTATGCTTATCGGGGCATAACAGATCGAAACATATTTTAATGGACGGTTTGTAGAGATCTTCGATTTTTTATCACGGACTGATGTCATTTAAACATTCACTGAAAACTAAGGAGCTCTACACAGATTTTTCCTTCTAATAAAGGACTTCTCAACAATGCATATTCGTGCTTTCACCTGGGATCGAATCCAATACCTTTAGATATTACAGGGATCGCTTACCTTTAAACCACTAAATTTGTATCAACTGTGTGTATTTCGAACTTCAATTAATTTTCGATATTCTGCCATCATACAACCCCATTCGTGGTAACTCCTTTAAACTCCTCGCGGTTGAACTCCACCGGTCACTACTCACCAATGTTGGTCTGTAATGTAAACCATAAAACTCAACAGTCCGTACAAACCCCAATGCTAATGTCTCCAAATTCCCTAGAAACAGAATCCA